CCCCCCAGGCCCCCAGTCACCACCACCCATCTGCCACTCGCCTTCGCCCGCCTGCACCGCCACACTACACAGCACTCCAGCCGGGCCCTGGTGGCCTGAGTGGGGAGCAGTTTTCCTTTGGTCTCGGTTCCCAGTATCCTCCCCACCCCATACCTGCATTTACTTGCCCTCCTGGACAAAGCTGACTTCCCACTTAGCCACACCCTGCACCTGCTGCGTCTCTGCTCCCTTGGTGGTGGGGACATTGCTGACTGGGCTCCCGGTTTAGGGGGTCCCTTCCCCACTCTTACCTCTGGCTTCCCATTAGGGGGCCTGGGAGGGCTCCCCTGGCCTTAAAGGGGCCTGAGCCCCATCACTCTGACATGCCCCCTCCAGTGTCCTGGCAGCAGCAGCACATGTGGCCATGGATAGGGCTGTTTGGCCCCAAGATGCCCCAACCAAGCTGTGTCTTTACCAGGTGCGGCTCACACCCACTTTCCTTCCTTCCCCACTTTGCCTAGTCCCTGCACTAGGTTGGACAGCCCTGCCCTGGGGCACAGGAAGGAAGGCAGGAGGGGTGTGAGCCCCCTACCCAGTCTGCTTCTACTCTAGGCCTCGTTTCCCCTTCCCTCACATGGGGCACTAACAAGGAGCTAGCCTTGCCCACTCCCACCCCCAGCTCCTCCCTACCCCCCAAGGTTCTGGTTCCATCTTTCCTCTGTTCACAAACTACCTCTGGACAGTTGTGTTGTTTTTTGTTCAAAGTCTCATTCTTAGACATCTGTCATTGCTGCTGCTACCAGCGCCAAATGTTCATCCTCACTGCCTCCTGTTCTGCCCACACTCCCCTCCAAGATGCTCTTGGGAAGGGGCCGGGGCAAAGCAGGCTGGGAATAGACTACCCCAGTCCCAGGGAAGGTGGGGCTCTGCCCCTAGGATGCTGCAGCAGAGTGAGCAGGGGGGGGCCTGTGTTGACGGCGGAGAGTGTAGGGCTACCTTCTCCCCCTGTTCTGCCGGGGAGGAGGTAGCCATTATTTGTCCCAGCCTGGGGCCCCCCCCTCTGGTTTCCTATTTGCAGTTACTTGAATAAAAAAATATCCTTTTCTGGACTGGAGTCTTTTTTTGTGTGGTGGGTGCCTGGAACCAGGTAAAGGTGGAAACCAAGAATCGTGAGGGTGGCTTTGGAGGTGCCCTACTCAGCTCTCAGGCTGGGGGCGGGAGGAGAGGGGAGCACAGTCACCTCCAGGGGAGGTAATTGAAGGCCCTTTCGAAGAAATCACACGCCTAACCACAAAACATTTTATTTACAAAATATGTATACTGAACACTATACATCAGGCCCTGTCACCATCAGAAACTCCAAAGCCAAGTCGAGGACTGAAGGAAGGGCTTGCGGAAAGGGCAAAGCTCTGCCCGGCCCCCCAACCGTCCAAAAAAGAAAAAAGCTCCCCTTAGTGCCTGGGACAGTGGGCTCAGCCCACAAAGGACTAAAGGCCTAGGGGGCAGTGAGGTGATGGGGCTGGGATGGGTGGGAGGAGGAATGGAGACCCAGTGCCCAGCAGGGGAGCTGGGTGAGAGCAAGTGGGAGGGGGAAGCAGCAGGCAGCAGATCCCTGGACACTGCAGGACCCCATGGTTTTGAAGACCAGGGCAGGGGTGTCAGGTCTTGACATCCAGCAAGGGGATCCGCTTGTGCTGGTAGCCACACTGCCAGCCATGCACCACCTGTGTGGGAGGAGACCACAGCTGGGCTCTGGCCCTGGAGTCACCACAGCCGGAGGAGAGGCCTCACTACTTGGCCCAAATGAGGAGGGCAGACGGCAGAACCAGGCTCCGGTTTCAGGGGTGAGTATGGGTGAGAGCAGAGTAGACACCCTCCCCCCCGTTGGAGTTCTGACCTTCGGGTCTCCCACGTCAGAAAGTAGCTCCTGCTCAGCCTCGTGTAGCTCCTCAGCAGGGTCGTAGCTATACATGGGGAGCAGGTGATGGCGAAGTCGGTCCACCCTGGGGGACAGGGGAGGGCACTCAGCCCAGGGGGCCCACTGCCTTCAAACATGACTTCCCTGTCTCCACTGCCCTCTAAGAACAAAGGGGCCTCTCCCCAGGGGGTAAGCTGAGCCTGGGCAGGAAAACCTAACAATGGGGTGTTGGGGATTTCAGGCTTGTATCTGGATGGCTGAGGGGGTCTTACATGTATGCAGCAAACTCAGATCCTATGAGAAGAAATTTAAGCCAAGTGTGGGGGAGGTAGTACTGGGGAGCAGGGACACTCACCGCTTTTTCTTCTGGACATACATTACCTGTAACAGAGACACAGCACTGTGGAGGCTGGGAGCCCAGGGCAGCCCACCCACTTCCAACCCCTAAAAGCAGAACAGCCTGAGATGCTGTGTGTAGACCGGGCCGGGCCCACCCAGCCCTCCTAGGCAAAGGTGTGGCCGTATATGTGTGAATGAGGGGGCTCCTTACCACAGCCACCACCACCCCGACCAGGGTGATGAGGAAGAAAGGCCCCAACACATAGCCCACCATGGAGTCACTGTTGGCCTGGGGGGCATTGGGCACTGTGGTGTTACTCATGACATCAGCAGCTGGAGGGCTGGGTAGTCAGCATGGGCAGGAGTGCTCCGGGAGGGCGCCTCCACTGGGCTCCCTGGGGAGGAGGAAGGGAGCTCATCAATTTCACCCAGTGACATCCAGGCTCCGGATCCCTCCCCAAGAGCTGGTGATACATGAAAACTTAGGTCACGCACTGGGACCAGAAATCCTCCAGGCCCCCTAACCCTAACCCTCCAATGACTCTCAGCAAAGCCTGGGTGTGAAGGGCACCTAGGGGAGGCCTAGACCCAGGGACTGAGTGCTGCCCAGCTCCTACCCCCAAATCAGGGTGGGGCCCAGCTCAGGTGCTGGCCAAACATTTGCAGTTCTCAACTCCTGGGAAAGGTTAGATATAGGTCCCCAGCTCCTGTCCTGACCTCCTGGGGCGCTGGGCTGCCAGCACCTATCCAGTGAAGCAAAAAGGAGAGAACAGGTGAAAATATGAGGGTCCTGCACAGAAGGCGCCTGCCTCAGTCCTGATTCAATCCCCACACTTCAGGCTACAGTCAGGGCCCCATGTGCCCTCCTTGCCCCTGGTGTCACTCCAGACAGCCTGGACATCCTGCCTGGGTGGACACAAGTGGTTAGGGGCTGGACTGCATCTGTGAGGTGAAGTCCCCTCCCTCTGGTCCTCACCCAAGGCTCCGCCCAGGTCCCTGCCGTCTTGGCTTGAGCTGACAAGCAGAGGAGAGGGACAGCTCCCATCGACAGATGCAAAAAGACTGTCCGTGGGTGGCTGCACACAGGAGCCCCACGGTCCCTGACCCTGGTTCGCCTAGGTCTCCATCCGAGGGCAAGGTGTGAGCTACCTGTCCCGGTTGTTCGTGGGGTGACTGGGCTTGCTTAGTCGCACGCACACCGTCCCATGTCGAGGTGGGTGGAGTGTCAGGCCGCTCCTAGGATGCGAACTAGCAACAGCGAGCCGAGGTAGTTCCCAGGGCTCTGGGAGGCTCAGGCCGGGGGAGGGAGGCTTGGGGGGAGCGCAGAGGGGCCCCGGCGTCCTGCAACCCCGGCACCCCGAGGCGTGGACCCGTGCCAGCGCTCTGCAGCCCATGCAACCGGCCATGCCTTACCTCCCGCCGCTGCAGCCCGGACAGGAACGCCCTCGGTCGACTCCCGGGCCCCGGAAGAGCCTGGAGGCGCGTGATCAAAGGACCCGGGGAAATGGGCGGAGCCTCAGCTCCGCAGCGCAGCCAATCCGGTGGCGGGCTGCGGACGCCCGGAGACCTCTGGAGCTGCCAATCCGGCGGCGCGGAGGCGGGGCCGGCCCGTGCTGCAGGGTCCACCCCGCGGCGGCAGGGGGCAGCCG